GAGTCAGCAACTCGGCGGTTCGGAGCCCAGGAATCTGCATTTGACAGGTTCTCCAGCTGATTCAGATCCACCATGAGGCATGAGGACTGACCTAAACTAAGCATGCCCTGACATTTTGTTCCTGTTAATCACCAGCAACTTCTGCTGAGGAGCCGAACAAAAAGAAACTGAAAGATACTTCCTCCTGTTCCAAGCAATATGTAATATTGTAATTATGCAATAATGCAATTACGTTCTCGATTGGAATAATATTGGATACATATAGTGGATCCATACATGGTGTGGAATAACATAATACAATTATGTGTTGATTGGAATGAGAAATGCTTTCTCCCAGGTTTGTCTCCAAGGAGATTTCCCTGCTCCTCCCATTGTCATCTAAACCCACCTCGGAATGGAGTCACTGAAGCATCTCCAAGAGATGAAGCAGGACTGGGAAATCAGGAGCAGCAAGGACTCTGTCACCATTAGGAAGGCGGCCTCACAGGGCGCCACGAGCTGGCACTGGCCGGCGCAAAGTAAGCAGGACCAAAACAGAAACCAGACAGCAAGCAAGTGACTGTTGACACAGGAAATGTAAACCTTAGCCCTGGACTTGCACTTTTCCAGCCTGGTGCTGTGCATCAATTACTGTCAACAGTGTTGAGCTCAGAAGGGCTCAGCCTCATTTTGATGAGTCAACTGGTTCTAAGAGGCCAATCTCATTTTATTTTAACCGGTGTTTTTTTTTTTTTTTTAAATGCTTGCTTATGTGGGGGGATAGGGCCACTTTTGATACTGTTCAAACTTCGGAAAGTAGCAAGTTGGTAACAAATGACCCATAGCACAAGAGGAAAAAGTGAACATACCACTGTCTATTGCAGGAGGAAACTTGGAGATCACCTAAATCAACATCCTGCCTGCTGGACAAGGAAACCCAGGCCCTGAGTGGAAGACTGACACTGGAGGAAAAAGGGTTGTGTACAAGATCACCTTTCCATGTCTCCCCTCCTCATTCCAGATCTAATGACCAGGGAGGCATTCAAAATAATTCAGCCTCATTCTTAGCCTGGTGACATTCCAGGAAATCTGTGAGCAAGTGGTGTTTAATTTGACCTGGAAAATCATTTTTCCCGAAAGACACCTGATCTCTTTGCTGTGTCATGGTCCCTACGGATAATTTCCCTCCACAGAGTAAACTGAACCAGAGTCCCCGGGGCATCCAGCCTCTGCATGGAGTTGCCAGGAGCATTTCCCAGTACTTCCTGCCGCTTCCTCTACGACCTCTTCCTGGAAGTTGCAGGCACCCATAGGCAAGGACTCCCTAAGCTGCCCGCTTGCTTTCACAGGTCAGGGGATCAGGAGCCTTTGAGGCATCAGCTCCCCGACATCTACTTAGAATCCCAGAGCAGCTGCGTTCACTTCTGCACCCAATACCTCCGGGGGAGTGGGGCAGAAGGGCAGGTGATTGCCCATTAACTGGCCACCCAGCCACATCGGGACGGCTGGCCATGCCTCTGCCAAAGGGGAAGAGAATCCAGCAGCCCCAGAGGAAGGCAGTGCTGACTCCCAGCCTGAGTAGATTCGCATCGCAGGTTGGGTTGGTCCTTCCCGGACAGCTCTTCCAACAAGCCATGGCTCACCCATGGGCAGCACTGACCAGCTAAGGAGAAATATTAAATACAAGTGGTGATGGCTCCCTCTAGTGGGCAGACGTCAGAGAGCGAATGTGGCTCTGAATCTTCAAGGAAAGCGGGAAGGCTCTGCTGGATGCTACAGGGCTGATGTCTGCGGCTCAAAGATTCTCATGCATAGACCTCAGGTCACACACAACTTCTACAGGAAGTTGCGTGTTGGTTTCTAGAAGTTGTGTGTTTGTTTGTTTGTTCGTTCATTCATTTGTTTCATCATGTCCAGCACATGCAGGCCTTGGCCATAGAGACAATTACTCTTGATCTCTGATTGTAGTCTTACCTTCAGCCACAGGCCGGGTTGAAGCCAGAGCTCCCGAGTGCTGCTCCCCTACCCTGGAAACCTCTTCCAGCCCTGCCTCACCGTGAACCAACCACTCTCCCTTCCCTGAAGCTTGCTTTCCTTCATTTGCTAGAGGCTGTGGTGTGCAGGTCCACCAGCTGACTTCCTGTCTCTAAAGTGCTTTGACACACGAGGACTCCATAGAGATGACCGAATAAGTCATGGCTCATTGTTCATCTAAGAGGCCGCCAGCAGGATCATTCATGGCCTTCTACACTTGGAGGAGGTCTGGTAGCCGCACGCACTTTTATGAACGTCACCGCACTTGGCTGTCGCGACAGCCATCGGATTCACCTTATCCTCACCTCTCCCACTGCCCCTCCCCCCAGCAACCAGGTTGGCTCCATCTCTCTTAGCTCTGAGATGGAGCTGAGAGCTGGGTCCTCCTCTACGGCCCACAGAGCCAAAGAGTCCAGACCCAGGGTTCAATCAGGGCTGTTAGCTTTGTCTAGGAGCCCCATGAAAATAAAGCAGAGGAGTTCTAGACTTCCTTAGCAGAAAGAGAAAGTCTATGTGACCCATCCCATAATAGTGATGATAATCAGGACAATGGCTAACACTTAAACCGGGCAGGCACGGGAAGCAATATACTTACAGCGACTCATTTGATCATCACAGCAACCCTACATCACAGGTCATCCCAGAACCTTCCATTCTTGCCTGGATGCAGAATCACTGCAATAAGAGCCAGAGTAACCTGGTTGTTATAAATGCCTGCCACAGAGTATGGATGCTTGACAGGTTTACATGAATCTCCCTAGGCAAGAGGAAAGGGCTTCCCTTTTCCAGGAAGGTCCCAGAAATCGGTTCACCCTTGGTTATTCTTTCCACAGTTACTAATCTCAGAATTACTAAAGTGGGAGGAGACACTGGAGAAGATTTCCCCATTTCCCCATTTCCCGATGAGCTAACTAGGGGATCAGGGTGTGGAGTGTTGATGTGAAACCACAGTGAGGTAGCGGCAGGGCTGCGGCTGGCCCCCAGGTCTTTATGCTTCATCCCAAAGCTTGTTCCTCTCTCCCATGCTGTGGCCACCACATACTCGAGTGAATAAAGAGCCCCGGGGTCTCCCCTTCGACGGCCCAGGAAGCTCCATGGCCGTCAGCCAGCCCAGCTGAGCTCTGGAAACAGAATCTGTCCAATATCAGCCTGCAGCACACGGGAGTGTCCTGGCAAAATGGTTCTCTGCTACCTCACCCTCAAATAAAGACAAGAGTCACCCCTGGAGTGACGCATTCCAACGACAAGCAGACAGCAGAGAGCCGGGACAGTTGCACGGCAGCCTGGGCCATCAGCCCTCCTGCTTGCAGATGCTGGGTGGCCGTCCTCCATTATCTGTCCACTCTGGAAGAGACCACCCTGGCCCTCCCTCGGGAGCTATGATGGAGGTGTTCTCAGCCTCCCACTGGATTTTCTTCTTTGCTCCAGAATGGTTTCAGGTCCTTCTGCTGAGGTCCTCCATGCAACCAGCTTTCCCTTCCCCACCGCCTCTACCCCAGTGTAGTTGCTCTCCTGCTCCCCATTTTGGAGTAGCTTCCACCAGATGTCGCTTGCCAGCTGGAGTCAGTGCCAGTCATGTCCCCAACTTTCCTAGGAGTGGCTAGGTGGGAGGAGCACCTTCCAGATAATCTGTCTCTACTGCTCTGTCACCATAGACTTGATAGCACTTCCCTGGCCCGAGAGCACTTGGGGTTCTCTAGCTACTTTCTTATAGGTGCTCTGTCACATGGCCAGCCAAGAAGCAGACCTGGCCTGCTCTAGTGTGAGTGTGGACAACAGGAATGTGAAGAAGGTAGTGAATAAAATTGGGGGTGGGTGTGTGAAGGGCAGGAAGGGTGAGAGACTGAGAATGTATCACAGACGCTCAGATGCCCCCCACCCTGACTTGGGGTCAGGAAGACAAGCAGGGAAGGACAATGGCAGTGCCCCCTCCCACTGGCTTCCTTGAGAGAAAGGCGGAGGCTGGGACATGGAGTCAGGCCCCACTAGACCTATTAGGAAATGTGGAGGAGGGTCGGCTGGCATCAGAGCCTGTTTCACTGGCTAGGATGGCCCCGCAGGCCAGCCTCTGGGAGCTTCTGGGAGGGGCAGCAACCAGCCTCAAACAGCATCCAGGGATGGGGATCTAGCCTCCAGGACCAGTTGCTGGCTTGGCAGCCTTTCCCGTCTTCCACCCACCACTCAAGTTCACCACCTTGGAGTCCTCCTGGCCTTCACCTTCTCTCGTGCCCACTCCACGTCCAGTTCCTCCTGCCGGCACGCTCTGCAAAATGATCCAGAGCTGTTCACGTCTCACCACCTGCACTGCAGCAGCCTGGTCCAAGCCAGCCTCAGGCTCTCTCCTGGATCATTCGAACAGCCTCCTAACTGGTAATTCGGTTGCAATTTACATCCGGTCATATCCCATCTCTGCTCAGAACCCAGGAGGAATGGATTCCCCTCCAACTCACAGTACAAGTGAAGTCCTGATGCCTCACTGCGTCCTGCGAGCCACAGTGCCCTCCTTGCTGTTCCTGGAACATGCCAGCCATGCACCTACCTCAGGGCCTTTGCACTTGCTCCTCCTCCGAGGATGCTTCCGACCCTCCCCTGCACCGCACATCCCCCTGGCTCCCCTTGGCCTCATTCTGCTCTTTATGCAAACATTACCTTGTAAGTCCTACTTCCCGAGTCTCCCCTCCTGTAAGCTGCTGTCCACTCCCCATCCCAACACAAACACACACATACACTCCTGCTGTACTCTCTGGCCCCCTTGCTTGATTCTCCTCTGTTGCCTATACTCACCTAGCATATAATATATTTTAATTATTTAGCGTATTATGTGCCTTTCTCCCCAACCAGAACCCAGCCTTTGTAGGGGCATGGACTCTTCTTGCTTTTTTTCATTAGTGAATCTCCAGCACCAAGAAATGTGCTCAGAACATAGGCGCTCAGCAAACACTTGTTGAATGAACAAATCAATGTTTGACACAGACCCTCACAGGAGATGTCAGAATTGTTGGGTTTATTTAGTAGGAAATTGATTGGGGTTTTCTAGTAGAGTCATTGGGTTTATTTAGAGATGGCTGGCAGGGAAAAGGGTGTGTATGTTCATGTGTGCGTGTGCTTGTGTGTTTTTCAGGGATGTTTGACAACCACCTTCACTTGTAGAAAACAACGTGTGAGCCCCTGATTATTTGTATGTAAGTGTTTTAACTGTATGTATTAACGAGACCCAACACTTCCTTCACTGACTTCCTCACTCATTCATTCACCACACATTTGATGATTGACAGTTCTGTATCAGGTGCCCTTTTAGACACATGGCCCTGCTGTCTTCTGCAGCCTGGTAACGAAGCCCCAGCACTCAGGACAATCTAGGAAGGTGTGGGCATTAAAGCAACCTGGAGCCCCAGCTTTCCTAATTTTCTTTCCTATTTAGGAAAATCATCCTGATCCTTCGTTTTGTCACAAAGCAGAAAAGATACTGGAATGAGTGACTAGCCATGGGAATGTCCCCAACCAGAGATCCTGGAAGAGTACAGGACTTGTTTGATTGTTGAGAAGTAACGTTACCCCCTTCCACTGAGGACAGTCCGAGAGAGAACATCCATCAGCTACAAGAACAATGTGGGTGAACAGAAAGAACGTCCTTCCTGTACCTGGGAGACCCTGCACACAGCATCGTCTGGCCTCTGGGAAGTCCACATAAAAAAAAATAATAACTCTGCCCTTGATATTTGCCCAGGCATATGTATATCAGAGGCAGATAACTCTTAGAGCATGGGTTATGCATCTTGCCTTCTTGCAGAATGTCCCCTATCTGTGGCCCAGGTCACCGCAGAGGGTGATCAAGCTCTCTTCCTGGTGATTTGAGGGTGGCCATCACATCCTCCAGTGCAGTGAGGACGCAGGAAAGCAGCAGGTGCTCTGAATCGTGGATACCTGCCTGCTCCTGCTGGCCTGTCTGCCTCACTTGGCCGTCAGTGTTTTCTCATGGCATAATGCACAGCCCCTGAGACTTTGCCATGTATTTATTTGTCATTCTTCCACAGCCACCCCTGTCCTGGGTGGGTCTGCAGCATAGCCATGCACCTCCCAGAATCCCCTGACCACCCCATAGCTGGTCTCTGCCCACATCACCAGCTTTCACCCTCCCCCTACAGCTTCACCCTGACATTCTGGGCCCGGTCTTTAGGGACAGCGGGTCTGGTCTCAGCTCTTTCTGGCTTGGTTCCTGTTCATGGGAGGCCACCAGACGGGTGTCAGGCCAGATCACCCAGTCAGTCTTCTGAAGAAGTTGAGGGTCCAGCCGCTGTCAGAATTCTATGCGTAGGTGTCCTTGCTTGAAGCACCTGCCAGCATTTTTCCTGCCAGAGATGAACCAGAACAAAAGGGCATGTAGTTAGCGATACAAGGGTACGTCATGTGAGGGGTGGAACCCAGAAACCTAGGAGCACCAGTGTCCTTCCTCACCCTGCTGGCGTTTGCTTCATGCTGTCCTACTGGGCCCTTATCTCTAGGCTCCCTGGTCTGCTTAAACCATACCTCCCACTGCCACCCAGTGAACCCCAGCAACTAATCAGTGACTGAGCTGGTGCAACCTGAAGCCATTTCTGCCCATGTTGTCCTTAATACTGCTGTCATTAATTCTCCACCTTTAATGGCCCCGGGGCCCTCTAGAGTCAAGTCCAAGCCGTGTGCCTGACTTCCAGATCCCAGAAAGCACAGTCTCATTTGATCTATCCAGCTGGTCTCACTGCTCCTGGACACCCCTACTGTCCACATGGTCCCAGGGGTCCATCTCGGATGCTCAACCTGCACCAGCAACAGGCGTGTTCCTCCCTCCCTGAAAGAGTTCCTGCCACCGCCTGGCTCCTCCTTATCCTGCCCCTACCCTCCCAGAATGTTCTCGAGTCTCCTTCCCACAATGCGGAGTCCAGTCCCTCTAAGTCAGGCTGAACCCCCACCCCCAAGAACCCCTCTGGCTGCCCCCTGCATGACTGATCTCTCTCTCTCTGCTCTGCACTCCTGCTGCCTTTACCATCTGGCCCACACAGTAGGTATGCAGTGATTTTCTATGGCAAAGCCTAAAGTCCTGTGTTAACATCCGCCTCTCCCGTGGCCTGGGCAAAGATGGACTCCTGTCGCTGTCATCCCTGACACAATCCATGTGTCTCTGTGACTACCACAAAGCGCTCCACAAAGCCAACGTCTGGTTAAACAAACAAACGAACAATCATTGTCATTTCTGTTTCTACATGTGAAACAGGAGCAGCAACATTAAGGTGTCCATGAAACTGCTTTGAAAAAGGTAAATAAGGTTTCCATAAACTCCAGTTGGTATCATGATTGTGCCCATGCAGCAGACTTCTGCAGAAGGGAAAGACTTCACATGTGTCATTTCAATAATTTGGGAGCCAACCCAAAGGTCTGTAACATGGAGTAACTTGTGATATTACTAAAGCACAAATGTAACTGTGAAGCCTGGTGTTCAGGGCAGTAGTTTGCCTGGTGACTGTCACTGACCCTCTGGCATCAGACTCACAAGGACATTGTCCGGGGAGCTTTCTACTGGCTTCGTCACCGTGCAATAGCTCTTGCAAAGTGGCAGGAAAAAAGAGCAAAAATCTCTGTGTGAAATTCCGGTGGCCATCAGGTGAAAGGAGGCGCCTTAGCAAATGGTCAAAGTTTCTTTGGTTGTTTCAAAGGAAAATGAGCAGAAAACTGATGACTCTTCGCACATACATGTGATTAAGGAAAAGCCTGCACAAGCACTTCTGCATTCATAAGTGTGGAGTTGTGTCAGGTGCCTGAACACAAGTTCCAAATGCTAAGGGTCACTAGACTCAATTCTCCTGCTGTGAATGTAAATTACACGTCAGGAGCTTTCTTCCTGGACTGCTCTATGGCTCCACCTACAGTATGTTATTGGGGAATGCACCATAATTTTTATATGAGTCCAAAAAAAACATCACTGGAGAAGTCCATCTGATTTAGAGTTTAAAATGGCAGATTAAAAAGTTGGATTTTTTTTTTTTTGCTCTCTCCTGGAACCCTCGAAAATAACAGTAAAGGAAATTTCTACAGAAGACAGAGGAGGTAAATTACAATCAGAATATAAATCACTATAAATCAGAACAGTGGATGAAATAATTAAAAGCCAATTTGCAGATGATGGAAAGCCCCTGGAGGGAGAGCAATTGACTTGGGAGAGGGGCAAGACTTAAAGCCTGGGTCCCTGCTGATGCCAATGAGATACAAGTTGACTTACCCCCAGGAACCCATAAAGGCTGAGGAGTTGAGGGTGTCAGATATAACAGAAGCAGGGCTACAGGACAGGGCTAAAAACTGGATGCAGTGAGACACACCTTTTCAGGTCTCCTTTGCAATCTCACAAAGCCAAGCAGCTACCCAGCCCACCTCCTCGTCAAAAGATGTAAAATTTGTTCTGGAGAAACTTGACCAGAAGGGCCTAGACTCAAGGAAAGCTACACCGCATAAGGCTCTGGAGGTACCGTACTGAAAGCAAGGAGTTAAGTGTGAGGGGAAGTCAGATGCTGAATGGTGAGAGAGTTGGCCACTTCCCCTGCTCTGTTCCCAGGATAATATCAAACAGGGAGTTGGAGAATTTTTTTCCTGGAGAAACCAAAGGATTCCAAGAATAAAAGCCTGTAGACACTGGAGGCCCCCAGTGAGACAGCCTGACCCCAGCTTCATCATTCTGCAGTGAGCTCACCATTCCACAAGACCCAAAGACACAGAGATTCCAGTAAGCTTCTTAGTACTTCACTCATGAAAATGAACAGAGATCCTCAAATTACAAACATCTCAGGAAAGTCTCCGAAAGGTCAAAACCAAAGACAGAAACTCAGAGAAAACAGAAAATTCCAGAAGCAAGAAAAAAACTTCACATATATTAAAAATCCTTGGATAAATAAGATGGAATATTTTAACCATGAAACAAGAATAGCCTTCTATTAAAAAAAAAAAAAGAAAGAAAGAAAGAAAGAAAGAAAAGAAACCACACAAGAAGAAGAAAATAATGCTTTGGAAATTAAAAATATGACAACCCAAATAGAAGCTTCAATAGAAGAGCTAGAAAATAAAGACGAGGAACTCTCCCAGAAAGTAGGATAGACTACAAAGAAAAAGAATAGAGAAAAAATAAGGAAATTTGAGAACCAGCCCAGGGGATCCAAAGTCTAATAATAGAGTTAATGAAAAAGAGAATAGGCAAAAAGAATGAAAGAAATGGTTAAAGAAACAGTTTTTTTAAATGTTCAAGAATTGAAACCATGCATTTCCAGACCCAGAGTGTCCACTGAACACCCAGGACAATGGATAAAGATAGACTTACATCAAGGTATAGCATCATGAAATTTAGAAATTAGGATATCAGATTTTACCAAAAGCATCACTAGAAGCTAGAAGACAATGGAGGTGGTTTTCAACCTCAAATGCTATCCTCATCAAAGCAACTACTTATAGCAGAGAGGCGGGGCAATAGTTAAGGGGTGTTCCAGGACAGTGGTGAAGCAACAGGCCTAGACCATCCTGGAGCAGGAGGACAGAGTGGCCCCGGAAGTCAAGATGAAGGTGAGAGAGAGCCTGGCTAAACAAACAAACCAACAATCATTGTCATTTCTGTTTCTGCACGTGAAACAGGAGCAGCAACATTAAGGTGTCCATGAAACTGCTTTGAAAAAGGTAAATAAAATTTCCATAAACTCCAGTTGGTATCATGATTGTGCCCATGCAGTAGACTTCTGCAGAAGGGAAAGATTTCATATGTGTCATTTCAATAATTTGGGAGCAAACTCAAAGGTCTGTAACATGGCGTAACTTGTGATATTACTAAAGCACAAATGTAACTGTAAAGCCTGGTGTTCAGGGCAGTAGTTTGCCTGGTGACTGTCACTGACCCTCTGGCATCAGATTCACAAGGACATTGTCCGGGGAGCTTTCTACTGGCTTCGTCAGCGTGCAGTAGCTCTTGCAAAGTGGCAGGAAAAAAGAGCAAAAATCTCTGTGTGAAATTCCGGTGGCCATCAGGTGAAAGGTGGCACCTTAGCAAATGGTCAAAGTTTCTTTGGTTGTTTCAAAGGAAAATGAGCAGAAAACTCATGACTCTTCGCACATACATGTGATTAAGGAAAAGCCTTAATCTGCACGCATCTGCATGTAAGCGGAGATTGACGTTTCTGCTGGGAAGTTTGCTGAACTCCACTCTCCATTTGGGTATCAGTGATAGGCATATAGAAAACTAAACAATGAAAAGAAGATATTCAGTAGCTCCAGAAGAAAACAAAAAGTAGTACAAGAAAGAAAACAGAATGACAGCACTGCGCGTTAAGTGGCTTGAGGAGGGATACTATTGGCACCATCATAATAAAGCAGGATGAACACTGAACTATTTATTAAATATGAATATTTATTAAAATATGTCATTTATACTTCAGTGGGCTGAGAAGGGTGTTTGTCTATATTGTGCAGAGTAACAGTGGGTGGTGTAAGAAAGCTAAATTCTTATCTTCCATAAGTCAATTTTCTTAAGACTTAAAAAATAAAAATTAAAAAGCAATGTGAGTGCGTTACAGGTCTTACATCCCTAATCCCAAAATCCAGAATCCAAATGCTCCAAAATCTGAATGTGTTGGTGCCAACATGAAATAGTGCCCTATGCTTTCTGGTGATTCAATGTACACAAACTTTGTTTCATGCACGAAGTTATTTTAAAGCTACCTTCGGGCTATGTGTATAAAGTGTATATGAAACATAAATGAATTTTGGTTTAGACTTGGGTACCATCCCCAAGATATCTCATTATGTATATGCAAATATTCCAGAATCCAAAAATCTCTAAAATCTGAAACATGTCTGGTCCCCATATTTGAAATGAAGGATCGGCAACCTGAACTGAGAAATCCAGTGGCAAATCTAGAAGAAACAGCTGAAGAGTTTGAAGAAGTTGATTTGGAAGAATGCAAGACAGGGATGAGGAAGGGTAGGGCAGGGGATTATTATTGTTTTTGTAAGCCTTATGAAATATTTTACCTTCCTGTGCTTAGACTAATACTTTAATTTAAAAGAAAAGAAATGACACATGAAAATGTCTCCAAACCGAGTCTCTAGACTGAAAACCCTGAGTTCTGAGGTTGACAGGTTTAGCAAAAACAAACAAAAAGGAAATTTTATATAGGGAGTAATCTTTTAGTGTAAGTACATCCCAAACATTGCAAAAATTACTCCTAGTTTATCTGAAATTCAGATCTAATAGGCATCCTCTGTTTTTTCTAGGAACCCTGTGCGTGATGTCCAACACATCCACAGCAATGCACGTAGCCATGATTGCAAAGCACCCACACAGAGAAAATCTTAACCACCTCCAGAGGGAGAAAAGTTCACCTGCAAAGAAATCAGAAAAGCATGGACTTCTCACAGCAAGGGTGGAAGTTAAGAAGCCGCGGAGCAATGCTTGCAAAATTCTAAGAAACCATGACACTCATTCTGGAATTTAACATCCATCCAGTAATTAACGGAGTTTAAGAACTGGATAAAGGCACTTTTAGGCATGCAAGTTCAAAACTGTGCTTTCTATTTACCCTTTCTTACCCTACTGAAGGGTTTACCCCATCCAGAGAAGAAATAAACCAAGCAAGAAGAAAACAGTCTGGGAAAACAAAGACCCAATGTAGAAGGGGAGGAAAAGGACTTCGCAGGACGCCAGCTGTACAGGGCAGAGAGAATGCAGGCAAGACAGTGGGGAGGGAGGGCTCCGGGGGAAAGGAAACGAATGGTCAGAGCCTGATGCATCTGATCCCATGAAAAACCATGTTTGGAGGTTCTTCCAACTCCATTGGCAAATCTGGAGACAATTATAAACAGGAACACTGAAAATTAAGCAGGTGAAGAAAATGAGGCAATTATTAACAAGCTGTTTACAAGAGATTCAATAAATAGTATAATATACTGCTTGGCAATGCAGAAAATAGTCTTTGATAGTGATAATGACAGAAACACTGAACACTGATTTAACCAAAAAACTTACGGGGGAGGCAGAGAAAGCGGTAGAGGACATACGACTTCATGGACAAAAGCAAGAGGTAATGCCCATCACACAGAGTCACAGCCCTTACAGTAGCCCAAAGGCCCTACCCAATCTGTGTCACCCTGACTTACCCCACCGGAATGACTCTCCTCCTCATTCACCTTCCTCCAGCAGTAAAGGCCCCTTTGGGGTTCTGTTCCTCAGTTTACTCCACATCCTCCCACCTCAGGGCCTTTGCATATGCTGTTCTCTTTGCTTATCATGCCCTTCCCCCAATATCCATTCCTCCCATCCTTCAGATTCTGTGCTCAGTTGCTGTCTTCTCAGTAAGCTCACCCCCTTCCCTTATTTAACATTGCACTTCTTCCCTGACATCCCCTACATTACCTCTGCTGTCATTTCCTTTTCTCCACATCATTTACAATCATCTCTGTAAAGAGCACCACTTCATTATAATGAGATGGCTAGAGTAGGATTTCATTTAAACATTTGCTTATTCTTCCTACTAGAATGAAAGCACCATGAGGACAGGGAATTCTGTTTGTTACATGTATCCATAAAAAAAAGTAAATCAAGAAAGAGCAACATATGCATTTACTGGGAAAAAATAAAGGTCAATCCTGGAAAACAAAATAATCGAACGTCATCCCCCTGTGGACTTGGCTTCATGGTGAGAAAAAGAGAGACATGGGCAAGCTCGTTTTCCTTGGAAGTCTTATACTATTGACATGGTTTTAGATCTGTGTCTCCACCCAAACGTTATGTCAAATGTCATCCCCACTGTCAGAGGTGGGGCCTGGTGGGAGGTGACTGGGTAATGGGGGTGCGTTTCTCATGAATGGTTTAGCGCCATTCCCTTGGTGCCGTCCTTGAGATAGCGAGTGAGTTCTCATGAGATGTGGTTGTTAAAAAGTATGTGGCACTGCCCGCCTTGCTCTCTTGCCTCTGGTTTCACCGTGAGAACTGCCTGCTCCCACTCTGCCTTCTACCATTAGTAAAAGCTCCCTGAAGCCTCCCCAGAAGCAGGTACCTCCATGCTTCCTGTACAAGCTACAGAACCATGAGTCAATTAAACTTCTTCTCTTATAAATTATCCAGTCGCAGGTATTTCATTATGGTAATGCGAGAATGGCCTAACACAACTATTGTTTGGCTTTTCAAACTATGTGCATTACTTTAATAAAAAGTAAAGTGTTTTTTAAAAACATGATCACTGTTTCGCCCTCCACCCAAATCATATTTCATTCCAATACCAAAATGAAGTGACTGCTGAATTATCTACTATTTTATATTATTAAGGCCTGGAAGTCATCCTCTTCCTCCCTTTCTGCCTCTAGCTTATTCCCAAGTCCCTAAGTTTTCAGCCTCCCAAAGCTCTCAAATCATTTCACCTCTTTCCATCTCTGTCACTATTGACCTAGTACCACCTTTCACCTGGTCACTGACAGCAGTTTTATGATTGGTCCACCTGCACCCACCCAGTCCCTCCAACCCATTTCACTGTGGCCAGACCAATACTTTCACCCACAATTCTGATCATATTACCCCACCTGGTATGGTTTGGCTGTGTCCCCACTCAAATCTCATGTTGAATTGTAATCCCCAATGTTGGGGGAGGGACCTGGTGGGAGGTGATTGGATCATGGGGGTGGATTTCCCACTTGCTGTTCTCATGACAGTGAGTGAGTTCTCATGAGATCTTGTTGTTTGAAAGTGTGTAGCACTTCCCGCTTTGCTCTCTCTCTCTCCCGCCACCGCGTGAAGACATGTTTGCTTCTCCTTCACCCTTCCACCAGGATTATAAGTTTCCTGAAGCCTCCTCAGTCATGTTCCCTGTACAGTCTGTGGAACTGTGAGTCAATCAAACCTCTTTTCCTTATAAATGATCAAGTCTCAGGTGGTTCTTTATAGCAGTGTGAGAACTGCCAAACCATTTTATGACCCCACCACATGAAACCCAACTAAGGCATTCATCCCATGTCTCCAAGGCTGAAGATAAAACTCAACCTATGGACCTAGCTCCAAGCTCACTGTCCTCATACTTACCCTGTTTCTCTCATCATAAGGCTTTTGGATACACTGTCCCCTCTGCCTAGAATGCGGTTTCCACCTCCTCTGACTTAAATATCAGCTAAAATGTCATTAACTTAAATGTCCCTAATTTGGACTTTCATAGCAGTTTTGTAGGTACCCGTTTCTAGTAACATGTGCACAGGTACAATTTTACATTTGGGCTTAATGGATTAACATCTCCTTCAACTCCTCCTCCTCATCAGCACACACACACATGTAAGCTCCAGTGTCTAGAAGAAAGGAGGACCTCAGTACATACAGGCTGGAGAATTTGTTTAAAGCGCTATGCTTTACTACAGCAACAACCAGTACATATTGCTTTGGTTCAAATAACATTTATTCTTCTGTCTCATCCCTACCCTAAAATTCTACAACTTGGAGATCACATGTTTTTTCTTTGAAAGCCTGTTTCCCTCTCTCCTCTCTATATTGTCAATCCCATTTTTAGGTATAATTTCTGGAAATGGAAATTTACTGACAGAAAAGTGTGCAAAAGATCATGTGTTGTATGAGGTTTCTATGCTGGCAAGCTAACATGGTACAAAACCCTCCTTCACACTTTGCCTTTTAGACATAATCATTGATGGTGTATTTCCAGCACTTCACACATGATCTTTAAATACGTTACCTTCCTTTGCACTTCAATACATGTTCAATTGGCTGAATTCCAGTGAACATCTGATAGAGCACTTTAGGCAAATCTAACGATTTTCATCTTGCCTCAGCTCTATTAAGTTTTAACACCTATGCTTTGTATTGTAGATGTCTTTATTTTCTTCTCATTTTTACAAAATAAGGACAAAAATGCAATAAAATTGCCAAATTATTATACATACAGCATTATTATACAGAAAAGATGATGATACAGGCTGACTGACAGGGCCACCATGAGAATGCTCGTCTGTCAGCTAATGCACAAGATTCCAAATTTAGCAGAAGATGAGGGCATTAGGGGATTATCAATGTGAACATCTAATGTTGAGCACCACTTGCTTACACTCCTTGTACCATTAGGTACCGCCTGATAATCCAATGTTAATGTCCTTCGTTGAGTAAAATAAGTTTAAATTCATCCTTTCTTTTTCTTCCTGCTTATCCAGGACTACATGATCAACCAAATATTCTTAAAGTGCCTTCTAAGGAGTAAGACTAACAGGTTGTCTTCCTTTAAATAAGCTCCCCTTCAGACACAAGGTGCAATCATCATGGGGAGTCCTAAACATTTTATGCTTGCAATATAATACAATTGAACAATTGAGAATCTTCCTTGTGTGCACTTTAAAAACACCCTATCCTCTGCCCCAGATCAGTCTCTGGCAATAGCTAGCTATTGGGGGACACATCCTTAAATGGGCTCCACTCCCCAGAGCTTGGGCTATGCCACATTAGCAGGGAAGTCCAGGACCAGAATCGGAACCATCCTTCTTGCTGACGCAGTGTATACCACTGACCATCTCAGTCTCATTGGAGTTAGGCTCAATAGCTGTTTCCCAAGCATTCTGCCGTTTCTGTGATTGATGTGGAATGTGTCATCCCTTAAAACCTTGAGCTTGGTAAGATTTTCTGCTTCCTTCAGATTTGTCACCAAAGCCCTGTGCATTCACTCCCAGGAGGTGAAGAAGCGGCATGCAACAAGTTAGGTCTACAGTTTATGCTTTTTAGCAGTAGCCACTCTGGCTGGTGTGAAATGGTATCTCATTGTAGGTTTGATTTGCATTTCTCTAATGATCAGTGATATTGAGCTTGTTTCATATGCTTATTGACCGCATGCATGTCTTCTTTGGAAAAGTGTCTGTTCATGTCTTTTGCCCACTTTTGAATGGGGTTGTTACTTACAGGAAAATTGTCCAGACACTCTCAAGGGTCACATTATCTTTAAGAGGATATGTATGTCATAATCATCAATGAAATGCAAACAAAATACCATTTTATGTCCAAATTAATAGCTTCCTTCTCCAACTAGAATATTCAAGGGTGAATATTCAGAATATTCAGGGGTAAACGCTCTCATACACAGCTGATGATTTCTTTTCCCTGTTTGCCTCTTACCATAGCCATCCATTATAATTTTTCACAATAGTTTTTTCTCTTCCTAAAAAACGCTCATTATGAACAATTCACTGACTTCAGAAAACTATTTTTTTTTAAATGTGCATGTCCCTTCTTCCCAGAAAAAAAAAAATCACTTTGCCTTTGGAGTCACACAAACTTGGTCCTCTGACATATGGAAATTATAACTGAAGCTCCTCCATGATGAGAAGGTTTAGGATAATGCTGATGTAAGGCACAGTGTTCTGTAACTGCTAGCTGTGACTATTATTATTAATATTATTCCGGTCTTTTTTCTATGTACATATACATCCATGTCAATGGGCACTTTTTAGTTTCCACAAGGTGGCTTTAGTGCCCTGAATAGTTATTTAGGACATTGCTTTGATAAATAAATACAGTTGACTTTGAACAACTTGGGAATTCGTGGTGCCAACCCCTGAGCAGTTGAAAATTTGCATGTAACTTTTGACTCCCCCAAACTTAACTAATAACCTACTGTTGACCAGGAGCCTTGCTGATAACATAAAAAGTCATTTAAAAGCTATTTCATATGTTACATATATTATGTACTATATTCTTACAATAAAGCAAGCTAGAGAAGAGAAAACGCTAAGAAAATCATAAGGAAGAGAAAATATATTTACTAGTTATTAAGTGGAAGTGGATCATCATAAAGGTCTTCACCCTCGTTGTTTTCACACTGAGTAGGCTTAGGAGGAGGAAGAAGAGGAAGGGTTGGTCTTGCCGTCCCAGAGGTGGCAGAAGCAGAAGAAAACCCATGCATAAGTGGACTCATGCAGTTTAAACCCATGTTGTTCACAAGTCAATGGCATTCAACTTATTAAGATTATGATTAAGATTATGAATCTTTAAACCAGGTCTTCTTTAAGCTTTTGAGTTCAATGCACAAACTTTACTATGCTATGCATAAGCACAGTTTGCCTGCTTTTTTATGCATATTACGTCTGAACTCCTTGAGAGCCTTTGAAAGCAATCAAAACAGGAGAACGTCTTTAAGGATATGCATTATGGATCAATGTTTGTATTTCCCCAAAACTCATATGCTGAAGCCCTACACCTCAGGATGCCTGTATTTGAAGATGGACCTCTAAGGAAGTAGTTAAGGTTACATGAGTTCATAAGGGTGAGGCCCTGGTCCCATGGAATTGGTGACCTCAAAAAAGGGGAGAGACACTGGAGCTCTTTCTCACTCTGTGCACAGAAGAAAGGTCATGTTCCTCCTCAGCGAGAAGGCAGCTGTCTGCAGGCCATGAAGAGAGCCCTCATCAGAAACCAATTTGCTGACACCTTGATCATGGATTTCTAGCCTCCACAGCAGTTAAAAAATCAGTCTGTGATTGAAGCCTCCCAGTATACGGTATTTAGTTATGGCAGATTGGTTATGTGCTCTATTCAAAATCAGGCAGCAGGTCAACCGCAAATAGACACAACAAAGTTTCTCATTTTTCAGAGGCGACTGAGTAAATTGGACCGTTGGACCATCACATCCCATTTCATGTAGGCTGCACTCGAAAAGTAATAACAGGTCAAGGAAAGAAGCTGTCTTCGGTTTCTACTCTGCAAATATTATAACCCTGTAAACTCACTGATGGTCTCCAGTGTGTGGAACGTGCCATGTTACCACCTCCCAGCATCAAAGGCAGGGAAGGGAGTAGGGCTGCCTAGACGAGCCAGGAGCAACAGAGGCTGCAGGCAAAGCATTAGGCTCATTTCTGAAAAAATCTATTTGTCAAACATGTCCACTCAACTTGATTCCCAGGCAGCCCTGACATTTTTATGAAGGACATTCCAAGATCAAGGAGACACCGTTCCTTACCACCCCCTCCAAGCAGTCTGAGAAAGGGGTTCTTAGGTTCCTGGAGAGGATCAAGGGGATGCCACTGTGGTCATGGCCACGGAGGTGGAACCTATGAGACCCTGCAGCCGAAGTCAATCAGATGATGATAACCACCCCATCCCTCCCCACCTTATGCCCTCTTAGAGGGTATGCTTATTTTCTACTCTCTCAGAGCGGAACACTTGGAGAGCAGTCTCAGCAGCTTAGCGCAGCAGCACCCAAATACAAAGGTTCTCTTCAAACCGCCTCTGAGCTGCAGAGCCCACACTCAGGCAGTCTATCCATGCACTTCCAGCAGATGCTCAGTAAGTGGCTGTAGTGTCCTCTGCTTGGATTTCCATAAAAGCTCCCCATAGGTGGAGAGCAGTCTGCACCCACACAGGCAATAAGGGGTGTATTGTCCACAGAGGATATTAAAACAATAAAACTGGGCAAAAGTTGACTGCTTTTTATTTCCATATGTGTCTGTGAGCAGAAAAATCACACACTTCTTTCTCTGCTCTCACACCACAACAATCAGCACAGACTTCTGTGATAAAATCTGTGAGGATTCCTCTCCTGCAGCATGCAAGCAATTGCAGCAAACACCAGCCGGTGTCCTCCAATTCAATTCTGATGCTGACTACCTGGAGACAGCATCAGACCCCACAGGTTGAGGACTCAGTCCTGCAAGACTGCCCCCAACTTCCAGTGCCAGTCATATGCCCCAGGTTGTTTTGCCTGTGCTTCTGAGGAACTGGTTTTATACACTGGAGTTCCCATGACCCCCTCCTTGGGTTTGCTTAATTTGCTAGTGTGGCTCGCAGAAACTCAGGAAACTTACTTACACTTACGGGTTTATCACAAAGGATAGTGATGAGGAGATGCACAGAGCAAGGTGTGGAGAGGGGGTACAGAGCTTTTATGCCCTCCTGGGGTGTGCCGCCTTCTAGGAACCTCAATATGTTCAGCTATCTGAAAGCTCTTTGAAACCAGCCCTTTTTGGAGTTTTTACGGAGGCTTCATTACATAGGCACGATTGATTTAACCACTGGCTATTGATGATAGCCTTGACCTTCAGCCCCTCACCCCTTGGGGGGCAGGATTGAAAGTTCCAGCCCTATAATCCTGCCTTGGTCTTTTCAGTGACCAGTCAATGTCCTGAAACTATCCAGGGGCTGTCAGCCATCAGTAAACTCACTGACATACAAAAAAACATCACTTTGGAGATTCCTATGCCAGGAAACAGGATGAAAACCAACCATATATTCCCTAATATCACAGTTAGCAATTATAAGCAATGTCAATGATAAAATATTTCTTGGGTGAGCTGCCCAGCCATGTTTCCCCGCAACTGGCTACATCAGACACTACTCCCACCAGGTCCCCTCAATACTAGTCTCTCCCACTCCCATCTTGCTTCAGCCAGAGGCATCATTCCAAAATGTGACCTGAGCATGTCACTTTGATCTAAAACTCCCGCTTGCTCCCATGGCCTTCAGAATGAATCCCATGTCTAAGCAGCTTCAGGACTCTTCACAATCTTGAGCCCAACCTACTTTTCTAGCCTTTCCTGAACCCTTTCTCTCACTCTGTATATCCCAAGCTCCTAGTTCCTTGAACACAGCATCCCATTCTTGAGCCCCACGCTTTTGGTCAAGCCATTTCTTCTATTAAGAATTTTATTTTCAACAATGAAAATTCCAAGTCATTTTCCAAGACCCCATTGAAGTGTTAATTCCTCCGGGAAACCCTCCCTGAGCCCCTGCAGTGCCAAGAAACACTTACCCCGACCACCCGCTACATGGCTTCACAGTATCACTTACTGCAGAGTCCACATGATCTACTCGCTGCCAGAAGAGCCCAATCCAATTAACAAGAGTGAGGTCTTGTATAAAGACAGCGACTTTTAACCAGGTGTGGTGGCTCACACCTATAATCCTAGCATTTTGGGATGCCAAGGCAGATGGATCACCTGAGGTCAGGAGTTTGAGACTAGCTTAGCCAACATGGTGAAACCCCATCTTTACCAAAAATACAAAAAAAAAAAAATTAGCCAGGCAGTGGCACCTGTAATCCCAGCTACTCGGGAGGCTGAGACAGGAGAATGACTTGAACCTAGGAGGCAGAGGTTGCAGCGAGCCAAGATTGTGCTATTGCGCTCCAGCTGGGCAGCAAGAGCGAAACTCCATCTCAAAAAAAAAAAAGACAGTGGCATTTTATTCCATAGCTAGCTTAGGGGAAGAAGTACAGGCTTCGTGCCTTAAGGGCACCACTTTGCTTTTGGAAAGCAGGTACTTTTTAAAGGGGGCCTAGCATGAATGGCATGCAAGGTGGGGTACACGTATTGGCTTTGGTGCCTTATCTATCAGGCAGCTGATTTGCTGTCTTTGTGGGCAGAACGCGGTTGTAAAGGTAGCCAAAACTCTCCAGATGGGAGGAGGCTTTGGGTTGGAGATTGACTGTTGTCCCGTGAGGAGGTCTCCTGGTGGGAGAGTTCCACTCCGGAGTTTCTAAGCGCATAGTTAGATGAAATTGCCCTGTAGGGAGTGTCTGCTGAAGGGGAGGTAGAGGTTAGAATTACATTTCTAAAGGGCTAAGTAGGAAGTGGGGAATAGGGGGAAATGGAGAAAAAAAAAAACAAAAGCAAAAAATAATTTTAAAAAATCATTATCTTTTTCTTAGAAAAATGGGAGTTCTCAGTTATACTTGCATTTATTAGCTTCCCCACTACAGGCTCCAAGAAGGCTAAATTCCTAATCCCAATAGTTGAGCCCAAGACATTGGTTGGACTACGTTTTACTGGTTACCAGAGTTACTGTGCCTTAAGTCGGTCCTCATACCCAGCTGGCTCATCAGTCCCCGGCCCCTTGGGTCAGACCAGGCCCCTTTCCTTTCTGCCTGTATGATTCTCACTCCATGAAATCAGCTGAGTAAGAGGGCTTAGAACCACCTTTGGATCTTGTTCTCTCTCTCTCCCTCCTGAAAGTCGCCTCTAAAAGAGCTTGTCATAGATTTTGCCTCCATGGTAGATGACAGTAAGAGACCCCCACTTTGGCCTGCAGTCTCAGTTGTGGGTTTCAACTCAGTCTTTTACTGGAGAGCCCTGAATTGCAGGTAGCTGGCTCTTGCTTTGGATACTAATAAAGTGGTGCCTTGCTGTCCACATTGGTCTTTACTCTCAGAACCCACAAAACCAACAACCCATGGTAGGCTGGCCCTGAAAGAGAAAAGCGAATCCTGAGAATGGAAGTGAGTATCCTGCAGAAGTCTGCTGGGGGGTGGCTTCGTCTCAGTTGTGAGGCTGCTGAATAGGTAGGTAGGTCAAGGGAATGCGGAGAATCAGCATTTGGAACAAGGTTACAAGGCATGAACAGTAGGGGAGGATCTGGGCCCTCATGTAAGCCCTAAAATTCTGCCCCTAACCCCCAAGCCCCCGCCTCTACCACTTACCACCATTGTGCTACAGTCAGCTGTTTACTTGTATCTGCCATCTAGATGTGACCTTCTTAGAAGATTCAAGTTTCGCTCACCTTTAATTCTCTCGTCCTCACACATATAGGCTTAATATAAATGTCTGTTTGAAAAAATAAGTGGGTACAAGACACCGCATGAGGTTCTTCTTCCACACCCTACTGGTTCCCAACTCAGCTGTCACCCCCCGCTCCTGCCTTTGTACTCTCAGAACCCCAATTTTGTTCAGGTTTCTGGAAGCCAAGAGTTCAAAGAAGACAGCTTGGCTGGGAATAGTGGCTCATGCCTGTAATCTCAGCACTTTGGGAGGCCAAGGTGGGAGAACTGTTTGCGCTCAGGAGTTTGAGACCAACCTGGGAAACATAGCAAGACCCTGTCTCTATGAAAAAAATAAAAATAAAAATGTATTAGCCAGACATGGTGGGTGTGCCTGTAGTCCCAGCTATTCAGGAGGCTGAGGTGAGAAGATCACTTGGGCCAGAGACATTAAGGCTACAGAGAGTCATGATCACACCACTTCACTCCAGCCTGGGTGACAGAGCAAGACCCTGTCTCAAAAAAAAGAGGAAGATGAAGATGAAGAAGGAGAAGAAGACAAGTCCCTCCCAGCCTAGAGGTAACTCTAAGTTAATCATGGTATTCCTAGCCTTTTGTCTATTCTGGTTGGGACAGCCTTGCCCTAACCAGAGCCTAAGGAAAGGCTCAGAGGAGACAGCTGGGGAAGTTTTCCTCATCCTTAGACTCAACCCTTCCTGCCTTCACACACTGTTGTGTGAGGACATGATGCTTGGAACTGCTGCTGCCATCTGTGAGCATGAGGCAAAAAGCCAAGCAAGTCCTAAGAACAGACTCCTTCAAGCCCTAACATCATTGGCTGTGGCAGACCCACTACAAAAATGCTCCACCTGCTCTTGCCAATGGGACCTTGAAGCTCCTCCCATCAAGAAGCAGAGTCTATTTCCTCATTACCAAGTCTTAGTCAACAGCATTGCAGCAGAAGTGACTGCACCAACTCTAAATCTCGGAGAAAGGAGAGCTAGTCAGTCACATCCTCCTCCACCTTCCTTCCAAATCCTCTCACCTGGCAGGAAAGCCACCTAGGGTTGTTGTATAAGAGGAGGAGGCACAGTGGGGACCAGCCTTGTTGACCGAGAGCTTACCTTTCCTGAAAGTCAGTGCTGAAAGACAGAAAGCCACTGAGGACCCTGCTGACCCCCCTGCACCCGCGCGCGCACACACACACACACACACACACACATACACACCCCAACCCACAAAACCAACAACCCATGGTAGGCTGGCCCTGAAAGAGGAAAGTGAATCCTGAGAAAGGAAGTGAGTATCCTGCAGAAGTCTGCTGGCGGGTGGCTTCGTCTCAGTTGTGAGGCTGCTGAATAGGTAGGTAGGTAGGTAAAGGGAATGCGGAGAATCAGCATTTGGAACTCTTCCCTGGGTGCAGCGCCACTGCCTGCATTGCCTGCAAGGCAAACCCCGCCTCCTCCCGCCGCCTCCCACTCCACCCAAAGCAGCCCAGGGACAGAGGCTGCAGGATTCTGACACAGGAAGTCTGCAGTCGCTGGGAGCCTCTCCAAGATACAGCCTGGGTGAAGGAAAAGGTTTGGACAAGGAGAGGAACAGTACAGAGAAACAAAGTCCTCGGTTTGAATCGAGAGAGATTGGAGCCCGCAGTTGGTTGCAGGCTGGAGGAGGGCAGCAGGGGCAGATGCCCTTACCTGGTTCTGTTTCTCTTTCGCTGGCCACCTTGTTAAGCTCCCATTGGCCAGGTGTCCGGAGTGGGACTCACCACTGCAGAGGGCTCCAGCCCCACACAGCGGCCTCCCAGGAAGGACTCAGGTGGGCTTTCAGGTTGTCGGAGTGGGAGGCAAGGGGTGAGGGAAGCTTTGGTGGTGGATGTGAGAATCTGGGATGGGGGTGTGAGGCTGTGGCTGGGGGCAGCAGTGTTTGGGATGGGACTTTCCGAGCTCCTGCCGTGCACCGTGCACAGTGCTTTCTGCAGGACGGCATCGAAGGGGCTGGAGCTGGGGGCAGCATGTCTGTGTCCTCAGACCACTGTGGAGGATGTGGACGGTCCAGGCCCCAAGCTGTCTATCCCTCAGTGCCAAGATCTGACTGTTAGGTGGGATGGAGCCCGGGAGGGAAACACAACTGCACCTTTCAGAGAGAGGCCCCACCTTTCAAGTGTGGCTTCAGGAGAAAGGATGTGGCTGAGAAGGGGAGGAAAGGGCCCGGCGAGCGTCAGCACTAGGAGAAGCAACTGATTTCATCTGGAGAGAGTTTCAGGGGAGACAGTTTCAGGCTGCCCTTCCCAAAAGAATTGGCAGGACTGGCCACAAGCCAAGTAGAGAATGGCTGCTGCTGACTGGGGGAGAAGCTGTGCAGCCCTTGGAATTCAGTCAACCTCTCTGGGCCAAGGGCAATATAATAATGCCTGCTTTACTGACCTTAGTGAATTGTTATGGTGTTCCATGGTGAAAGAGAGTTGTAAAATGTGAAGCGCAATTAAATGTGGAGGTGCGATATTGCTATCACCAGAGGTTCTTAGGCTGGAGGTGGGTACCCAAGAACCCACAGTTCTTGGCTGTGCACAAGAACCTCTAGAGACGTGGTTTTTGTTTTTGTTTTTGTTTTTTTGTTTTGTTTTGTTTGTTTTGTTTTTTTAATCCTGAACTTGGAAACCACCCTAGATCAATTATTCACGTAAGGGCAAGCAGGCAGCCATTACCTGGTTCTGTTAAGATCCCATTGGCCAGGTGTCCGGAAGGACAGGAAGTGGTATTTTTTCAAAAGTATCTGGTGATGCTGATATCCTGTGAAGGTTGAGACCCACTACCTAAATACCTAAGACTTCCCCAAACTCCCTGAAGATGATCACTCAGAGTACATGTTTAAAAAAAAAAAAAATACTCTCAGGCTTTTCCCAGATCTACTGAATCAAAAGTTCAAAGGGTCCTGGCAATCTCTATATTTAGCCAACAATAAGAGCAACGTGGACATGTTATGCCGGTGAAAAGTCTGTCGATTCGCTTCTTCTCTCCTGGATAATCACAGCCAGCAATGCTTCTGGACAGCACAGGCAAATCAGCTCAAGGAGGGGAAGCACCCTCCTCAGATAATAAGTACAGACATGCTGTGGGGGGATGGGGTTACCGTAGACGGCCAAATCCCCTCTGATTCCTGCTCCACCAGGGTGACATTCCAATTACAAAATGACACATTTCCCAGCCAAAGTGCCTGGGAACCTTAAGATAAAAAGGAAACCATGAGTTATCTATAACTAACAGCATCAATTACGAGTGCTTTATTGTTTCGTCAATAGATTGTTCAGGCTTTCTTGCGTCACACCCCGCTGACTCTGTTCCATTCATAAAATTATACAAACACATGCATGTCCATGCACATGCACGCACAAACACAGAGACCCCAAACTCACCAAACACACAAATGGGAGGACAAAGAGCATGACAGGAGCCGGTGAACTCTTATCAGGTAACTGCGTTACTCTGTTTAGCATTATCTGCAGTATTCCATGCTACATTAGCGATGTTCCCGAGTAACAGGACCCCAGGGATGCTTCATTTTAGCTCTTCCATCCCACAGAGGCAATACTAGCTTAGCAGATAAGAGCACGACTCTGGAGCCCGACTGCCTAGGTTGAAATCCTACCACCCCACTTACTGGATGTGTGTGACTCTGAGCAAGCTACTTTTGTGAAAGGAGATAAAAATGGGACAACCAGGACAATTAAATGCTTTGGTACACATAAGCCCTGACGGACGCGCCTGGCACACAAGATGCTACGTGAGTGTCTGCTGCTATCCGTTACTGTTGTTTCTGTTGCTTTACTATAGGTGAGAAAGGTGATACCTAGGAAATTAATTGCTCCCTTCGTTCACATCTCTTGACTCCTTTGGGACTATAGCCAAGGACGGAGTCGTAAATGTGAACAAATATCTACATTACCAGTGTTCACTGTAGCACCTTTCATAAGAAGCAACCTGAATGTCCAATAGGAAGTGGCTTACCAAAGTAACGCTGCATCTATATGATGACCATGTAGTAATTGCATGAGAAAACTAGAGACATAATATGAAGCTTTTCAAATGAAATACTGAATGATCTCTATAGATATGCAGATACAGACACAGACAAAGTTAGTCTGGGGGGGAAATACAACAGAGGTCCAACACAGAGTGTCTCTGGTTGTGGGGTTATGGGATGTTTATTTTCTTCCTTACACTTTTCTAAACTGGAGTAATTTTCCGTAATGGGCAGATATTCCTTTTAGAGTCTGAAAATAAAGCATTCAATTGAAGCAGCTTGCTCAAGGTCAAACAGCACATTAGGAGCCCACACAGGCTTCCCGTCCCTGTCCAGGGATTGTGAGGCTTCATGAGGCTGGGCTAAGAGCAGGAAGGGAAGCTGAGGGGGATGAGAATAATGAACACACACCAAAAAGCAGCAGGACCTTGGGAGCGCTGTGCAGGGCTAGGCCCTGGCTCGGAAGCGTCCCAGGGCAGAACTGCAAGGGCAGAGTTAGTCACTTTTTCAGGGACCTTTCTATCCCAGAGCCGCTCTGTGGCACAGGGAGGTAACTCAGGCACTACAATCCAATGCCTGCCCTTGGGGCTTCTCACTGCTCTCTCCCAGAAATGGAAAAAGCCAGCTTCTACTTTGTCTAAGGATACCAGAGAGTAACATCAACCTTTCTTTCCTATGTCCTTTCTGCAGATTCCTTCCACGAGTGTGGAGCCTGAGACCCAGGGAACACTGGTTCGCATCCCTGCTGGGCTGAGTTCCCCTGCTTCTCCTTAATATAGAAATGTCTTTTCATGCCCAACATTTTTCCAATCATAATGCCAAGGTGCTCGACACAGCCAAAACCAAGGAATGTTTATTTTGCAACACTAAAATAAAGAAGGATCTGAAATCACTCAATAACTAGGGTAGACTTCATCTAAGAAAAATAGGAAGAAAGGAGGGAGGGAAGGGAGAGAGAAAGAAAGGAAGGAAGAAAGGAAGAAAGGGGGGGAGGAAGGGGGAGGGAGGGAGAGAAGGGAGGAAGGGAGAGAAGGAAGGAAGGAAGAAAGGGAGGGAGGAAGGAAGGAAGGAAGAAAGGGAGGGAGGAAGGAAGAAAGGGAGGGAGGGAGGGAAAGAAAGGAATGGAGGGAGGGAAGGGAGGGAGGGAGGGAAGGAAGGGAGGAGAAAGGGAGGAGGGAAGAGGGTAGGAAGGAGGGAAGGAGGGAAGGAAGGGAGGGAGGGAAGGGAGGGAGAGAGGGAAGGGAGAAGGGATGGGAGGAGGGAGGGAGGAAAGGAAGGAGAGAGGGGAGGAGGGAGGAACATAGGTAGGGAAGGAAAGAGAGGGAGGAGGGAGGAGAGAGGAGGGGGGAAGGAAGGAGGGAGGAAGGGATAGAGGGAGAAAGAAAGGAGAAAGATGTTTATCATGCTTGATACTAGATAAAAATTATTGTATCACTTTCAAAACTTTGCTACAACCTGCTCAGTATATTTTTAAATGTAAGTTCTGATCTTTGTAAAATAATAGACTGGAGCATATGAGATCTGAAATTCAGTGACTCTATATAAAGTTGAAAATCTAGTAACTCCAACTCTCTTTTTCAAAGATCAGTCCAGTGGCAAAAGCCAAGCAATAAAGTCTGCCAAGTTTTCAGGGAGCCAAC